TCAGGACTAGGGTTCATAGAACCACAGAACAGCCTGGCCTGGAAGGGGTTTAAAAGTCACCTAGTTCCAAYCCCCCTGCTGAGGGCACGGACATCTTCCACTACACCAGGCTGCTCAGAGCTTTACCCAGCCTAGTCTTGTACACTTTCTGGGCTGGAACATTCACAACTTCTCCAGCAACCTTGTTTCAGTGCCTCACCACTCTTACGGTAATGAATTTCTTCCTAATCTCTAATCCAAACCTGCTCTATTTCAGCTGGAACCATTCTGCCTTGTCCGGTCACTGGGTGTCCTTGTAAAAAGTTCCTCTCCATTTTTCTTGGAGGCTCCCATCAGGTACTGGAAGATCACACCTAGATCACCCCAAAGCCTTCATTTTTCCAGTCCGAACAGCCCCAACTGCYTCAGCATTTCCTCAGAGAAGAGGTGCTCCATCTCCCTAATCAACTTCGCGGCCCTACAGGGGACTCACTCCAACAGGTCACTGTCCTTCCTGCGCTGATATCSCCAAAGCTGGATACAGCACTGCAGGTAGGATGTCACCAGAGCGGAGCAGAAGGGCAGAATCCCCTTCCCAGGAACTCCACGTCCCGATTTCTCTCATCCCCGCTCCTCACGGTAGAACAACGCAGGCTTGGCGCAGCGCTCGGCCCCCCGTGCCCGCACTGCGAGGGAAGGCCTCACCTTTCCGCCGCGCTCCGTCCCGCACCGCACCGCTCCGCGTCACCGCCCCAAGCCGGCACCCCGCGCCGAGCCCCGGCAGCCACCTCCGGGCCGGGCCCGAGAGAAGGGTGCGGAGCTCGGCCCGGCCGCCGCCGCTCGCCGCTCATGCCGGCGGGGCCCCGGGCACAGCCGGCAGCTCCAGCCCCGGCTCCAGCCCCGGCCGAGCGCCCGCCCGGCTCCTGCGCGGCCCCGCAGCCGCTTCCACCCCGCCGGAAAGGGCGGCCCCACCGCCCCCTCAGCCCCGCCCGCCCCCTCAGCCCACGGCGGATCCCGGGCTCGCACTGCCAGTGGGGTAAAAGCCGTGAAGTGAAACCCATCCTGAGTGGAAGGCAACAGTGAGTTGTTTTCGAGAGCCATAAGTTCTCGAAAACAGAGGAGAGAACGGAAATAAGAGTTGCTTTTCGGCTGGCAGACGCTTCGTGTAAAAGGAAGTGCAGTAAGGATGTGCGTACGTTTGTGGAGCTCATATGGACCTTGTCAGGTCCGTGTGGAAGTCTCTCTTCCGGGAGAAAAAAAAACACCACCGAATTCTGATACACCTTTGTGAGACTAGAGGCAGGAAGGAAACGCACACGGAGAGTAAATGAGAAGCCTTTAAAAATTACATGCTACTGAAACAGTCCATAATAATAAAAAAAAATAAAAACAAAAAAGTCGGAAATCTGTAGGCTCTGCACTGTGATAGAAAAAGTCCACTGCAATTTCGGCGTTTGGAGGGGGGTTTCACCTTGAAATTGGGCCTGGAAATGAAGAAGTATTTGTCTTCATTCTGAATTTTCCCTCATAAGGATAGGCTTTCTCTGAGTAAAAGTGGTGCTGAGACTGGAGGTAAATAACTACTACAAACAGACTTGTCAGTAACGGAATTTGAATTAACAGGATTTTAAGAGTATCAAACAATATTGGGAGAGCATTTTAAAAGCAGAGGTCAGGAAATAAAACCAATAAAATGTTAAAATGGCAATGGTAAGTATTTTTCAACATCATGCAACTTAATGTAAAAYTGATTGGCGTTTTTGTAAACAAGCCTCTTCWGTTTCTTTTATCCCTGAGGTGAATTGAGTACCATKAATGTTTGACGGAAAGGGGGGGRAAAACATTATCTTAGGYTTCTTTTAATCACWGCTCTTGYGGATCAAATTCATGTTGGATTTCTCTTGACAATGACGTCTTTAAAAAATCTCTTTATTTGAACAACTCTTTGACTGACAGGTTTGTCTCCATGCAATCTCATTTCCCACTGGAATTTCAGAATTACTCATTATGAAACAGCTGATCCACTTGAAAAATACCCAACTGTTTGCTGTGTTCCCGTAATTTAAGTAATTTAGATTGAGTAGCATCAAAGAACCTTTACAGTTGCCTCCTTTTTAAGATGAGGTATTTCATTAGTTACCCTTTGCTGTTCTCTCAGAAACTTTAAGGCAAAGATGTTTTGGCTGAACATTTCACAGTCCTTCAGAGAACTACAGAGCAGAATAGGTGAAGTAGCAATCTAGACCTCTTATATCATGATGAGCAAAATAAAGCATGTAAAATAACACTGCAAAATAGTTGAACTGTACCTGAGTTAGGAAATGAAATTTGCAAATTTTGTGCGTGTTCTATTTGGAACTGTTTCCTTTTAACAGAAGGTTCCTGAACAGCAAATTTTATTTCCTTTCTCAAGAAGTATTAGATGAAAACCACGCCACGGCGTCACATTTCAGTCTGCATTGCAGTAGCCCTTGCCTTGTGAACTTGAAAGAATGGGTGCAGTCTCTGTCATTTGGTATTTGGCTGCTTGATGATCGGGCTTTTGTCAATCGCGTGATTAARTTTTCTTTTCTCTGCTTTACAAAAAGACCAAAACTAATTACCCAAAGAAGATATTTTCCTAATGAAACTTTGTGCTTGCATTAACTGAAGTAAAGTATTCCACACGYCGTTAGCCGAATGAATATATCTTACGGTAAAGTCCACTCTGTCCACCCAATGCTCTGCCCTCAAGAAGAACTGGAACAAAGTTCATAATCTTCAAATCGGATATATACCATAGTTGAATTGATAAAGGTTAATCAAGGGAGTATTTATCAGTTTTGCCTTAATGTAAACTACTTCTAAAAATAAGGTTTCTCTCTGCCTCTTGTAAACAATATATTGCAAACTTATTTTACATTTATTTTCTTAGCAAGGGGTATTTGCATGTCTGGTGTTGATATGTAATAGATATGCCACATATATGGTGTCTGGAAATATTTGATAAGTTCTGTGACACATTTCACAAGATTGAGTGTGCCAAAAAGATTGTRTATTAGTCATTGCCTTCCAAGTTGCAGAAATTCTACAAATAGTTTTTGCTTCCAAATAAAAATCAGTGTGTTAGACACTGAGGCCAGTAGCTGCAGTACCTGTTTAAAAACATGCAACAACACTAAACAATTTAACATTAAAGGTAAAGAAACAGGGGTAATGAAAGTCCAGTATTTTTACAAATATGTCTAGAATTATGCAGGTTAAACAAAGCAAAAATATTTGTGTGTATGTGTTACAAGTGCTAMCAAGTTGAAAAGAAAAAAGGACTTCAGTATACAGTGTTGAAGTTTGCTTTCTAAACACTGTGGAAGTGATGAACTCTTTTTTTCTGAGATGATTTATTTTTAAACAAACAGACCCCTCAAAACAAATAGACCCCTTTGTGATTTGTATACTCAGTTCCATATTTTAATAGGTGTGTTTATTTTAAAAAAAAGCTCATTTGCTCAAATTAACATTTGGTCAAGCAACATTTCTGAACAGCAGATTTACGTAAACTATKCAGTGCATTAGATAAAAACACAACTATGCACTGTTTACTTTTGCRCACACAGCTGCTTCTAGTGTTTTGCATGGATGGTGAAGAATAAAATGTTAGTTATACTTATYTTAATTTAGAGCTTGGGCCATGCATGATCATTCATATCCATTGACAATGCTGTATTTTCCAACAGAGCCAGTTGCCCTTTTCAAAGTCCTCAGGGAAGAGGTAGAATCTTGCTTTTCAGCATTGGTGAATAACAGATGTATGTGAACAAATTAGAAAAATACTGAAATTAAAGATCATAAGAAAGCTGTCCACGGGATTCTGTTGAATTTCTGAAGTTAGTTTGAAAGAACAATGTTGACTTATTCATAAAAAAGTCACTGTCTGTTAAGTTCAAGCAAGACAGATGTATCTATACAGAAAAAAAATGGAGCAGTTGTTTGTTGTTGATGTTAAAATAGTTATGCTACTCTTTGAGAGGGTTTTGTTTTTTGGGTTTTGTTTGAGAATGGGGCCTAAGCAGAATTTAGATATGTAAACCCAGGATATTTGTATTATTTCTAAAAACACCTAAAAGTTGTGTTTTCAAACTTCTATCTGCAAAGTAGGCAGTGAACGAAGTATTGCTGAAGTCTTCAGTAAAAACAAAAACCCATGCCTGTTGTCTCCTTGTATATGATCTATTCATAGTTCATCTTTTTTCACTTAAAAATCTCATTCTTTATTGTCATAATTGCCAGTGGAGTGTCTGGATAGCTGCTGTATTTGTGGGGGAGGTGAGACTCAGCCTCCTAAATRAAAATAAAATTGAGATTTCAGTTCTTAGCCCCAAAGTACTAAGGTCAACACCACAGTCATGTAAATCTGAATGAAGAAGATCAGCAAGCACTACTTCTAATCTAGTGCAATTCTGTGTTATAACTCACAGTTTTGCAAGAACATGTCTCTGGGTTGCTGGTCCCACCTGGAAATGGGTTTAGCAGAATTTACTTGTATCTTTAAGTTCCCCATATCCTTAACTAAGTGTAAGGTACAACTGTCAAACTAACTAACAAAATTCACGAAAATATACCAAAAAGACACTCAGTGCAATACAGGAGATCAGCTTTTGTACGTCAAGTATTTCTGTATTTGGTACTTTCTGGTAAAGGGTGCTAGCAGCTGAGATTTTGATACAAAAAAAAACCCCATCAAACACCATGAAAAAATATTTTGATTTTTTTTTTTTACCTTAATGCATGTTGTGCTTGCCAGCACTTGTTATCTTCTTTGCTAAACCAATTACAGTGCAATACTTGAAAATGCTTCGCAGTTTTCAGGAGTATGATTAGAAACCTTTGGATGATCAGTTCTTGTGAYCATAAGGGAATTCTCTTTAGAAGAAAAATAGATGGGGAAAACCCACCAGTAAGAGTCAAATGGGCAATACCATATCCATTACATACTTCTATAATTACGTATTGCCAATGAGTGATTTTCTTTTTCTCTAGCATCCCTGAATTTGTTAGAGTTTTTGAAGATGTATTCCTAAGAAGATATGTCTCCTCCCTGGTACATAAAGACAGGTATATAGAGATACTGCTTTCCGTTTTTGCAGTTTTCAGCTTTATATTTTCTTAGAGGGACTTCTAAATTGCCATGCTGCTGTACATCAAGCAGAAAGGTATATTCAGCACTCTATGTTCCTTTTTTAAATGACTGAGAAAACTATGTAGGTTCTGGCTTTGGTGCAGTGGGTGGGGTTTTTTCAAACAGAAAATGGATCATGTGTGAGTCATATCAGTATAACCCATRCATCACTGCTAAAAATTGTGGCTGTTTGCAAATTAAAAAACCTGTCATTATTTTTTCACACGCACCAGCCTAAACGATTAAAGTTACAAGCCTTAACAAAAAGAAAAAAAACAAAGGCACCTTCAAAAATGTGCTTCACTTCTTTTTAACAAGCTTAGTTTGCASATTTGAAAATACGTTATTAAAATAGGCAAATAGTCTGTTAATTTGATTAAAATATTTATTAAAAGAAGTTACAGTATGATGTAGCTATTTTCTCATTATTAAACGAAGAGTACTTCATGTCCTCTAATTGGGAATTAATTATAGAAAATTATTTTTAGAGGGCTCTCAGTAAACTAACATTCTCAGCAATTATAATGTCAGTGTAAGCCAGCAGTATGTCCTGACTGTTGCTCAGATCAAGAACACACATAGTGGCTCAATCAGTTAACTAAACCTGCCTGAACATTTTGCATATTTCATACCCTTTTCCTCTTTGCAGTTTCTGCAATTAAAAAAAAAAATAGGTTATATAGTCTTCAGAAGGCAAATAGTSATACTAAATGCAAAATTCTTGCAGGTGTATGAGACAAAAATTTAAGAAACACACAAATGTGGGTTGGCTCATCTTCTCCACCCATAGTATCAAACATATATTTCCTTTATTGATTGGTTGAATATTTATTTTTCTTTAAGCTTAAGGAGAAAGTTTAAAGTGACAATTACTGCTTTGCTTTTTGCATTAAATCTGCAAAAGATGCTTGCATTTTTATTACACTGTAAAGAAGCAATCAATCAGGTCTTGTTTTTGTAAAATAGCTGRAAAAAAGTAGCATTTTGCATGTGTTAAATAGCATGGCCCCTGCTGCTGCTGCTAAAACTGACCCTGGTCTGCAATACSAGGCTGTGTTTTTCAGGAAGAATATTCTGCTAGTAGCAACAGTAGACACAGGGTTCCACTGAGAAGCACAAAGTTGGTGACAGGGCCACCAGCTTCTGCTTTGAAATGCTGTGATCTCCTCTTCAGTGAGGAAGGTGATGAATCTGCCTGACCTCCTGAGAGTAACAAAGAAGACGAAAGACCAGCTGTAAGAAGCAAACCTCCCATATCGCCTGACTGGAGAAGAGATCAAGGTGAAGTCAAGTGGTGAGTTGTCACATTCTGCCCGGTGACTCTGACATGACTGCATCCATCACATCTGCCAGGTCATGTGATGAAAGCTCATCTGCACCCTCACTGAGGAGCACGGAGAGACCACTCTCATCAGCCATGCAGWTGGAAAGCCTGGCTGAAAATCTAATGAGAGGTGTCTTTTGCAGTCAAATGTACTCTGTGAGGTAGTATACCATTAAGGTCAAAACAACCAGAGAAGGAATGTTAAATTGGGYTACTAACTAATGAAACATCCCAAAAAACATCTCAGAGTACACCAGCGCCATGATAAAAATTACATTTTGGTATAAAAAATCAAGATGTTAAGGAGYTTTTATTGCAGTGCTCAAATTCATTTGTCCATTTTACTGTTTTCTGAAAAAGAAGTGGTATTTTGCTCTAGTAAGTCAACAGGTCAGCCTCAAGATCTTTTTCAATTCATTAATCAAGTGAACTCAATSCATTCATTTGGAACAAATACATCTCAGCTGATGTTCATGAGTCTACCTAATGAACAAGCCTTTGGAGTTGCTTGAAGGAGGCTGCCCATGTGCATACCTGCTTGGAACAAGGAATGTGTTTATGCCTGCTGTGCAGCTGCTCTCCAGCTGACCAGCTCCTCAGACTCCCAGTGGTTGATGATTGCTCCTGTCAGCCGCCTTTGGTCCTTGTTCCCTGACAAGAAGCAGCTCTCCACTCCTGGCTTGACCTTGCACCATCCTTCCCCAGCTCAGAAGACCAGGCTACTGGAGCTTTCATCCATTGCCTCTCTGCCAAGTGTGGCACTTGAATTGTTTTTGGGGATGGTGTAAGGCTGCTTCTCAGAGTGCAATTGGCAACATACACTGATTCCCACCAAGAAGGAGACCTTATGCCTCAGCCACAGCATAAACTCTTTATATGGTACTGTTCTTAAACCTTCTCAATACACACAGAAAATGTTCAGTTAAAAAAAAAAAAATAGGAGGGCTGAACTGATCCATAYGATATATTGAACTAGAATAGAGCAGAGAGACCCCTGAAGCAGAGATCCTTTGGAGGGTTGTAGCAGTAGGATTAAGTCTCTGGGCAACTGCTCACTTTCTTGAGGGAAAAAAAAAAAAGTTCATTCAGCTTACCTTACTGAATATAAAAGGAGCATAACTACTGGAAACGCTATGTCCTTGTCCAGTTCTGGTCCACTTAGTAGCTGGATCTGAAGCATAATGGYCTGCTTGATTTTGGAGCTTTTAGGATGGGAAACGTCCTTAAGTCTTCTCTCTCTCTGAGGGGGGAGTCTATTTAAGAAGTGAGTCTTCTGGAAACAGCACAACGCTGTCCTCAGGAAGGTGGTAAATTAATTTATTGTTGTCTTTAACAGGGAAATTTTTGTCCAATTCTGTGATCAAATTGCCAAGAAATTAAGTGTAAAGGCGGTGATAGCCCAGAAAATACTTTCAGGTCCTTCACAGTAAGTACACTGTATTGTTTTGCTCCAGTGGACCCATGTAATGTCTGAATGGAGATTGTATTTACAGACACAATTTGCTGTGGGCAGTGGAACTCACTTGTTACTAATTTTCTTCAGGCCTTATCATTCTCCACATAAACCCAAAACCTTCCATAATTTTACCTCAAAGATTAATGCTTTTGGATTTTGGTTTCTGGGGTGTTTTTATCATCTCATCTAAAAGACAATGAATATTTGAGCATATATATTTACCTAGTTATTTTACTCTGTCACATTTGTCATTTTTACATTTAGAAGTTGCTGTGAACTTTTATGGGGAGAAGARAGGCAGCTACCATGCCCAAATAATAAGGAAACATTCCCTATGAGACTGGTCTCATTTAAAAGTATTTAAAAAGTTATTGGGACAAGGCATATGAAAGAAAATATTGTGAAAAAAAAAATAAAAATAATAGAAGTATTATGGTTCCACAGGTCCTTCTCCATGGGATCTTCAGTTTGGGTTTTTCTACGTCATGTGAGTAAATGTGTGGACAATTTCTAAAGACAAAATCTCCATTACTACATGCAGCTGATACTTTTTGTACATTCTGAAACAAATGTCCAAAACCTGTTCAGATAGAATAACTTTTGGAAAGGAAAAAGCTTCAGGATGTTTCTGTGATTTGTTTTCTGACATCATCTTCAGATATTTGGAGCTGCCAGACTCAGATGTTCTTATCATCTGATCAGCTGTTCTTAGGTCTTAACCACCTGCTTCTTAGGTCTTAAGCACCAGCTCACAAGGAGTTCAGTCTGGTCACACAGGTATCCCCACTTCATATCTACAGTGTTCAGTACTGACAAATTGCTCTGGAGCAAGATCTTGTAGATAGACTTGGAAAACTTTTTGATCTGTACACTTGTTRAGAAGCTTTTCCAATTAAAAGATTTTTATTCCTTTCTTAAATCTTCTAGTTAAGGAGTCTACTTCTAACTTGAGAAATGACTCACCAGACTGAGCCTGAACAGTGTAGCAGTCCAGGAGCCTGCAGTATTTGAAATGTAGGGAATGCAAAGACATAAAAAATGCTGGTAATTCTGTAACATTGGAGCAAATCCTTTCCATCCCTCTTCATGGTACATTTTTATGCCTAGGATGAGTGGTTCAGTCATAGTGGGCTTCTTATTTCTCTTTGCCTTTGGGAAGACTAGTCATCTGTGGTGATTCTCTGTTCTCACAATAAGTAATTAACCTGTTGCTTTTTCCATTATTCTGATGTTTGGTGTTTTTGGGTTCTTTTTCTGGGGGTTTTGGAGTATTTTCGTGACCATGTGTTTATTTCTGATGGGTTTTTTTTCCTCTGAGTCCTCATTTGTCTCTGAATTTTAAGGGATTTCTTTTTTGGCTACCAGTGTCAGATAATTTTTCTAAGACTTATTTGTGTCTTTATTGGAATTAATCAGTCAATCATAAAAAAAACCAGATCCAAACCTACTCTGTGATCCTTTTGCTCAGATCATAGAATAAGCTAAACAACTTTTATGGTTCAAGGACATGTAAATSTGGTTGTCTTTAGCTGACCTTAATTTACCCAGTCCAAATTTCTGCAGATACTTACATGGAAAGTCCTATGGTAACACACATGTGGAGACAAAAAACACACCAAGTACATAACCTGGCTGTGTATGTGCTGCTGTCAGGCTCAAGAACAGCCATAGTCCTAGATGGTTTGCAGCTGGACACTTGCATAGTGAAGTGCCCATAGGTTTTGGGGTATCCTAGACTTAAAATACTATCAATTTTTGGTACTCCCCTACCCATCTTACCAGCTGACAACATTGCCTGTCAAATCTGTCTTCTGCATCTCAGACCAACCTTGTGTTTAGRGATAGATTTTGCCTTGGAGTGTTGAAAATGCTCATTTACATTTCAGCTGAAAAAGAGGACTTTGGGGAATAAACAGAYAGATCTCGTTGCAGTTGTTGGGTGTGAAGACAGAAGAATGCCAGGCAGAAATTGAGTTTTTCTATAATTTTCTCTTTACAAAATGCTCTTGCAAGACTGATGCAAATGCTAAGCCTTGCACCTAATATTTGGAGTACAAGATGGAGGAATTCATAACCACATTATTGGAAAGATTTGAAGACTGAAGATGAACCTTAAAATAAGTGAGTGGTATCTGTTCAGTTTGCCCAGGAAATGTTAAGGGATTTGATCATGTTCTGATAGGAAAATCAGTACATGTTATCTGGCCTTTTAGTCAAACAGAAAAAGGTGTATCAGGATTCACTGACAGGTAGAAGTAGCCAGACAGCTGAAAAAAGGCATATGCTTTCAAAAGTGCAGATAATTCAGTCTCTTTCCCCCTCAGTTTCCCCAAAAACTGTTAAAGAAAAGAAAATAAGGGTCAGCTCTATAGTCTTAGCTGAAATTAGAAGTGTAGGAGGAGAAGGGATTCCACTCAAAGGCTGCATGRTTTAATGCTTGGCAAGAAACTGGGAATTTCTAATTACTGGCAGCATCTCAGAGGAAACATTTGCTTTGTTACTAAATTACATGCATCTAGGGCACTAAAATTATCTACAGCTATAATTCCTTTTTTAACATATTCAAATATATAGCTGTCATGAAACCACTCTGTTAATTAATATCCATGTATTTTTCTATTAATAGTTCACATTTGTGACTCACCAAGGTACAGTCAACATAGTCATATTCATTTACTTAATAAACTCTTGATCAAAACCAGTATTTTATGCACTTAATTGGGCTGGTATTTTTTCAGGTTTATGTCTCTTTTTGGAAAGGGCAACAAGATAAATAGGCTGGTGGCTTTCCACACAAATGGTGTTCTCTTTTTATTTAAATCATGTATTTTACTTCCTTCTCCTAGCATTTGCAAAGTGCTGGGCTACTAGCAGCTCTAACTCCAACAGCCCTAATTTGATTCCTAAATGTRTCATACTTACTCTGTGCAGTACTCTGGAGCCCTAGACAAGTTACACTTGCGGGACCAAATATTACAGCTATCTATCATTTCTGACTAGCTCTGCTGARAACTGCATTTATTAAACCACTTTTACAGTCTGAAAAAAATGTCTTTCATCCCTTTTACAAATACATCTGTAATAACATTTCTACAGTTTGAACTGTCACGCCTTTTTGTTTTTCTGCCTGTGAGCAATTCAAAGAGCAGTTCTATGTAGAAAGGCAGCAGTTCTGGAGCTGCCCAGAACAGAACTAAAATCTTGTGTAGTTTGCATGGGTTCTTGAAAAAAAAACAAATCAACATGATCTGCTCACATCTTTTTTCCAACACTCATGGAAGCTTTGTGCTACTAAACCAAGTAGAGCACCCATGGCGGCTACTGAACAGTTTTGTTTGTGTTCCCATGACTTTGGTGGAAGCCCTAAGGAATATCTCAATTCCATTTATCTCTATCTGCAGCTTTCCTGAGTTATGCTCACACCATATGTTGTGATGAGAAGAAACTCACCTTTTGGGTCTGCTCAGCCTGTAGGTTTGACTCCCACTTTTCTCCTTACTTAGGGAATGTGTTGAGATTCAGATGTCTGTCCCTGAGAGCTCCCAAGCTCCCATGCTCAAAGCTAACCTGAAAAGTCTAATGAGGGAGTTCAGTATTTCCCTGAATATACCTCTGGGGTCCCTGAAGACAGACTTATGGTCCAATTGGTCATGATGAGCTTTTCACAGTCTGTGAAACAAAATTTGCTTTCATTCATGTCTCATTCAGAGCTGCAACAGGAAGTGGCTGAAGTGTTTCTTGGGTGTATCATCCCTGCTGCAGCAGCAGCAGAAGCACTGAAAATGCCAAATGTGGGGACACAATCAACAAACAAGAAGCCGCCTTAAGTGAAGCTGTAAGAACAGGGAACGTAAGAAACACCTCTGTTCTTCTGAGGTTCTTCTGGAGAACCTTCATRGTGATGAAGTCCTCTATTTTGAAAGGGCAATTGAGAGAGGCTCGGGTTACAGTAGGCACAATCTATTTAATGTGTCATATTTTAGGCTGCAAGAAAGAAGAGCTGCAAGTACACTTTCTGCGGATGATGCACTGGAAAATTTTCCCATCTTCAGTCATAGACTGGCTGTTCAGACTAGAAAATATCCATAGACTTGCTAAGTCTTCCTTCATGAATTTGCATACTTCTCCTAGTCATGTCTTTTCCATACCTCCTACTGCCCTTAGGTCATTGCTTGAGCTCCTATGTATCTCCTGTGTGAGGTCCAGAATCACTCCAGGATTGATTTTAATCCCTTACCTTCTGAGCCTCTTCCTTTAGAGCCTTTTACTTTATTCTAATCCATGTCCTATAGAAAAATACAGGCACATATGATAGCACATTAAAGRAGCAAAGAGGGAAGACAACAAAAACCACAGATTTTACTTTTTCCTTTTTCCGCCTTCCAGTAGCATGGATAGAAGCTATATTAAGCTTCTTAATATAGAAGCTTAATATAAACACCTTTATAAAAACTGATGATTAACATGTAACATACTAAGTGTTTTAGAAATTACTTACCCAAGCCAGCATCAGAGCAAGTACACCTAGAAGGAGAAAACTGCAGCCTGTGAAGGATTCCCACTGAAGCCTGGGAAGGGAGTGAGAGGCCAAGAGAATTCACCAGATTCTGACTGCAGACCCCCTACTCTGCTCACTGCCTCACTGATGGGACTGAGCATGGCCTGTGCTAATAGCAAGGGAGGGGAGTCTGGAGTGAAGTTGAGACTGGAAAAAGGGGACCAGTGTTTTTTTCTTAAGCATTCTAATGTATTTTTACATTTCCCAATACCCAAATCTGTAGTTAAACACGCTAATTGCCAGTAAATTAAGTTAGATTCCCCAACTCAAGTCTGTTTTGCCCATGTCAGTGCATGAGAAGTGATTCCCCTGTGTTTATCTCAGCCTAAAAGCTTTCTTGGTCCTCTACTTGCTGTTTTTTCCCCCTTCCTGCTGGTGGTGGAGTGAATGAGCACCTGTGTGGGTACTTGGCTGTTGGCTGGGGTTAATCTACCACTGGGGGTGAGTGACAATCAGAGAATTGCAGGAGAACAGAGCTCATTGAACTACATTTTCTGTTGCTTGGAAGCCATCTAAAAATAGCTTTAAAAATTCCTTCATAACTAAATACTCTATTTGTCATCTGAAACGTAATGAAAATTTTCATCATTTATAAGACCACAGAATCACAGAATGCTTTGGGTTGCACAAGTGTATTCAACTTAGTTCCCTCTCCATTCCAATGAAATGTTAACTATGGCTAAATGCTTCACTAGAGAGGAAGGTATTTTGGTTAATTGGCCTCCCAAGGCATTTAAACTCAGAATTTTGCAGATCTAGGATATGTCAAAAGATTAAAGCSTCCAGGACCCATTCTATTTCTTTCATGCTTGCCATTTTTCGCTCCCAGCAGCACTGTTYAGCACGCGCAGCTTCCATCAATGCTCCAGACATCCTCCTCCCTCACTGGCCCTGGCTGACACAGAGCTGACTCAAATCTCTGGTTCATCAAGAGAGATGCAAATCAGCCAAGACCCAGGGAGAGATGTTTTCTGCATTTATCTCCTGTCCCTTCTAGGTACATCATCTCCTGCCTCTGAGGCATGTAGGTCTCTTTGGAAATTTTCTGACAAACCTTAAGAAGCCTCTGCAAGGCTCCTGGCTCCATCCCTGGCCGAGGTCAGGGTTGGATTAAGACTACAAGGGATGCCTCCAGCCCAGCAGCCATGCCAGGCTCCTTTCCAAAATAACTTTAAGAGAAATAATACAATCCTCACAGAGTTGTATCCTTGCCCTCTCACAAAACCAGGCCCAAAAGGAAAGTTTCTCTCTTGCCAGGGTGGCTTTCAAGCACCCTGCCCAAAGCAAGAGGGAGAGACCAGGTCTTCTGTGGCACCAAATTTCCAGCTTTTTCTTCCAAATCAGGAGCTTTTCATAAAAATGAAGCCTCTAAAAAACATTAGCGATGTTATGGTACTAACATAAAAGGGTCACAGGCGGGACTGCTGTAGTATTGATGAAGTATAAAGAAATAGCGAAATCCAAATCCCAGGAAAAAAAACAAAAACTTTTTTGTGCTTTGACTGGACAAATCTTTATTCTGGGCAACTGAACTATTTTGAAATCATACATATGCCTGAAATCTGTGCTTTAGGCAAGTTTTAAAACTGCATTTGAAAACTATTTCCTAGACATTGAACTCAACACCCTAACCCTAWGCAGGTGAAGTTACCAACAACAAAAATACTACACTGAGCAATTTTTAATTAGCTTCACCTTAGTAGCCACAAACTAGATAAGATCCCATTTCAGTGACAGAGCTGAAGAATGAGTACTGACAGTATTTCTTTTGGAGTTAAAATGAAATGTGGAATGTGGTTCATACATTTTTTGAGATGCAGTTTTAAAAAAAGATGACATTCAAAACCCATGACATTTTAATCCATATAAGATATACATTTCTTCAGTTGTTCTGTTAAACTCCTAACACACATTTTCAAGTTCATGGAAAAATCCAAATCTGATGCTGAGGCTTCAGAATGGTTTCTTCTTCTTGCTAAACTAAAAATAGTAAATAATAAACACATCCTGGTTTAGGCTGCCTACACACTGCATTTAAAAAAAAATCGTAATGACTGTGTGCTTCTGGATTTGAACAGAAAATTTGTCTCTGCCACTGACGGGAAAAGATCCTGCAGCACCTGTCACTTACATAGTGCCAGYTTTCTTCAGAGAACTGAAAAAAGGTTTTTTTGCACTTTACTGAGGATGAGTTTTTTTAATGCATTTTTCTTATATACACACACTCCCYCAAATATATGTATATATATGTATTTATTTATACATAAACAGATTTGTATTTTTTGCTTTATATATATGTAAAATATAGTACCAGAGAAACTGGCTAAAACTGAGTGCAGCCCCAAACCTGTCTCAGTGTTTCTTAAGGCCCTGTGTAGAATTTTTTCTGCATTTATCTCTAAGACTCATGATTATCCATACCTGAAGCTCCTCTGTTTTCACCTCCCATGCCTCCTCCTGGCATGATTTGGCTAGCATCTCTGACACCCGATAAGTCACCAGATCTGTTTCAGTATGTCCTTTCTGGATTCTTGGGACAACATTAATTTCACCTAACTTCAAATATTTAGGGCATTAGAGATTAGATTAATTAGATTAAATTAGAGATTTATGCTGACCACTGCCAGCTTCCACTATAGCAGTAAAGAGAACCAGTCTCTTCTAGAGACCCACCCCTTTGGCTTCCATGTGCCACTGCCTTCCACTGACAAGGCAAAGAGCCCAGTGTGACCTGGTTCAGCTGCAAACATCCAGATTGGCGAGGTAAATTCCACTGTCTTGGATTTTTATTAATTCCCCACTATTAATATGCTCAAGATCACAAAAATGTACATTTTCACAATTTATCACTTTCAGCTGTAATGCTTTTGCATTCCTAATCACAAATAATACACAAATAATTTAAAAGCCCACTACAAAAATACCTACTTTTTTGGTATGTCTGTTTGCACCAAAACAAGAATAAAATATAGMCAAGTTTATTGATAACTGTAAATGTTACCATTGATGCAAAATAGATAACAATACTCCACACTTAGGTATTCTAACTTTTCCTCATGCAGAGCAGAACAAAATTTAAAGTAAGAAAATTATTTCATTCAGTGAAAAAACTTCCTTTTAATAAATAAAGTACTTGCTATGCAGGTTTTGATGAGATGAAATTATTACAGCTATCAAGCCTTAATTAAAAGCTACAAGTCATTGAACAAAACTGAACTCAAACTCTCAGAAAACAAAACAGCTACAATAGAGAACTCAGGTGTTTGTATTTATAAATACATATATATATATATATACACACACACACACACACACACAAATAAAAGGAGCACAAGGGATAAAATTGCTTTCCTTTAAACAAAGGAAGTGAGCACTCTCCACCAACTCCAAGCATTACCACGAAGATACCTCATGCAACTGCTTTAGCTCCTGCAGGCTCTGTTCACGTATTTGCTACTGGCTTGCATTTTATCCCACAGGAATTAAAAAACAAACCTGCCTGTCCCCTCTAGGATAAGAAAAGGAAAGGCTTTGTTTCTTAACAAACCCCACGCTCTTCAATAAAAYCATTAGCCTGTGGGATTGTAATATTTTCACAAATATTTTGCAAGATCTAATATTCCTTCAAGTTAAGGTCCCTTATTTTAAAAGAATCAAAACATGTTGATTCTTTTAGAAAACAGAACTGAGCAAAATGTTCCATGTAGTAAGGTAAATTTCRTTTACTTGTCCTGGGCAGACTTCTTCAAACATGGAGGTCTGAATTAAAAATAGCAATCTTAGGCAAGGAGATTAATACATAATCAGAGGGTTTAACATGTATGCAACACTGCTGAATTCACACAATCCACAGAAAATTACTATTTTTCTGAAAATGCAGTGTTTCTGCATGTATTCCATGCACAGCTTTCTCAGATGAATTGCAATGGAAATCTTAGGTAATGATGAAATCAGCCCTTAAAGGATTTACAAGTTGACAAAAGCCACACACAGCGACTGGGTCTACCTGCTGCCTGTGACCTATTACTGCTGCCCTTTTGGCCTTGGAGAAAGCTATGAAGTTTCCTCTCTTATACAGGATATCTTCATTTGGCACAGTATTCTTGTGTGCTGYTTTTTTCCCCCATGTAGCAATTCTTCACCTTCAGGGATCACCGCTGGGAGCAGACAGTTCCATTTCCCATCTGAGCACAGCCTGCAGCTGCCTGCTCTGCCCAACCCTGGAGAGAGACATTCCAGCAGCAAGGGAAACCAAGTGGATTTGAAGCAGCCATGCAGAGGCCCAGTTTACATCCTCCATCCCAAGTCAAAGGCAGTTAAATAGCCCGGAGTACAAACTGTGGGACCCCAGGCATTGTTCCCCTGTGATCCATCCTCCCTAGCTAGAGACAGGACTGGGGGAAGGCAGTCATTGCTTTAGGCACTTGAGTTTAACCCATCCATGGATGTCAGAGTAAACCCTTAGGCTARCAATGGAAAATCCAGCATAACCTTTCCATTTACTGTTAGGCAATCCAATTTTTTTTTTGTCTGACAACCCTCAAATGACTCATTTTTTTTTCTCCAGACAGTATAGCAATGTATTTTATGTTTTTTATGGCTGACTGATGGTGAACTAAGCAGCAATGGGAAAGCAGAATGTTTACACAATAAATCCGCAAATCATTTTGTAATCATTAATGAGCATTCTCAATATTTTACTGCTGCTGATTAAAAACCTAATTCACTGGAACTGGTCACTCACTATACTATACAAAGGAAAGAAAAAGTCACTGGTTYTTCACGTTCTGTAAAGGGGGATGTGATAGTAGCGGTCATCCTCAGTCAGGAGAGAAATCTCATTCCATTCCCTTCGGTATTCATCTGGATAGTTTACTTGAAATTCCTCAGTATTAAACCTATGCAGTCTGTAAACTCGTATCTTTACTTGAAGTAAGTATCCAAGAAGAAACAGATCAACCTAAAAATGAAAGAAGTCTGTAAGACATTTATTTCTAGACTTTGAAAAGTAAACTGAAATTAATCCAAGTTAAGGCAAATAATTTTGCTTCAAACATCAGACAAGGAATAAAAGGGGCCTTTTTGCAAGTGAAATAAGAAAATTAAAAGTTTGAGGGCATTCCCAACAGCCAAAGGGAATGGAATTCTCTTTTGCATGTAGAAGGAAACATCCCTCCTCCACCTGACACCATATATAACCTACTCCCAAGGCAGYTCACACAGCTTGCTGGGGAGCAAGAAAGGACTAGGTATGATCAAAATTGATACACCCTGAAAAAATGGGAAGTCTGCCACCTTGTGATCATTTGCTCATATGGAAAACATAACAGCAAAAGGAAAAGGTTTCCTTGTACTWCACATATATGAAAGTGGAGAACTGGCATCTTCATTGATACTTCTTGCAAAGGATTGCTTAATCAGGAATAAAGATTTGGAAAAAGTTCACACCTTGAGCATAGCCTGCCAGAGCAGAACTTCTCCAGTTATAATCAAACTGCTCCTAAAGCTGACTGCATCATGTAACAGTTGACTTGATAACTGAAATTGATTACAAAAAATAATTTCAGCCACTGGAAAGTGAAACCATTTGCAGAGTGGCAGTGCAGAGTTTAGATGTCAGCCCTGAACTCCTCACTAATTATAAAATTGGTAACAAAACCCTTAACATATAAAGGGGAATGGTAGAGGTCTCATTAGCTACTCTTAATAGAYATTAGATCTCATGAGAACCAAAGGGTGAGGAGAATAGAGAGTGATACTACAGGGTTTGGCATAGTGGAACAGATAAGAAAAGCAGAACAACAGGTCAAAACGCACAATATAAAATTATTTTACATATCAAAGGTATTATTATTCTAAATGGTATCTTGTTGATAGCCTGTAGCACTGAATTTTGGTTCACCCTTACAGCAGTTTTATTCCTGGAAGATAAATGGCTATCCATTCAATCCACCTCCCCACATCTCAAAGAAAAATAGGCCAGCTGTCATGGATGATGTATGATATAATCACCTAATCATCACAAAAATGAAATAAATTTTGTGATTTGTTTTTCATTTATATCCTTACCTGGTCTAGACAAATAGAGTCACCTATGGAGTTCAGATGATTCATCATGAAACTCAGAGGGTCAGACGAAGAATCACGAGCAAAGAGAAGGCTGAAAAGGTTGTGTACAGGTCCTCCCCTACTCTTTATCTGCTCATAGGCTTCGACAACTTCATAGAGCATGATGAATTTTACAGCCTCATATAGTTTGTATTCCTTGCTTTCATCAGARAATAGTATATGACACATGTTTCCTCTTTCTTCATGATCTTTTGTAGCACTTATTTCAGYCCACTGGAAAGCACAGAGAAGAATATCAATAAAATGATATAGAATTCTACTTAACACAAAAGATGGCAAAACAGGAAGAGAAGCCTGGTTTAAGTGTAAGGTACCTATAAATTGACACAGCCTAGGCACAACAGCATTTGCTGGCAGCAGCCCCCAGTCTGACCAAGACTTGAGGTACATCAGGGCCAAGTGCCAGCTCCTGCACTTGGGTGACAATAACCCCAGGTGGCTCCATAGTCTGGGGGCAGAGTGGCTGGAAACTGGCTCAGTGGAAAAGAATGGAAAAGTGGGGGTGTTGGTCAACAGCAGCTGAACATGAGCCACATGTGCCCAGGTGGCCAATAAGGCCAGCGGCATCCTGGCCTGTACCAGCAATTGTGTGGCCAGCAGGACCAGGACAGGGATTGTCCCCCTGTACTCAGCACTGGTGAGGCCACACCTGAAATCCTGTGTCCAGTTTTGGGCCACTCACTATGGGAAAGACTTGAGGGGCTGGAGCATGTCCAGAGAAGGGCAATGGAGCCAGTGAAGGGTCTGGAGCACAAGTCTTAYGAGGAGCAGCAGCAGGAGCTGGGCTTGTTGAGCATGGAGAAGAGGCAGCTCAAGGGGAAATCTTACCACCTCTACAACGACCTGGTGGTGGGTCAGTCTTTTCTAGCCAGGTGGGGGTCAGTCTTTTCTCCCAATTAACATGTCATAGAACAGAGGAAAAGGCCCTAAGTTTTGCCAAGGGAGATTTACATGGGATACTAGGAAAAAATTATTCATGAAAAATATTGCCAAGCATTGGAAAGGGTGATCCAGGGAATTGGTTCAGTCACTGTCTCTGGAGATATTTAAAAGTGTAAATGTGGCACTTGTGSACATGGCTTAGTGCTGGCTTAATGGTTGGACTTGATGATCTTAAAGGTCTTTTACAACCTAAATGAATTCTATGATTCTATGATGATGGAGCTGGGAAAGGCAGCAAAGAATGCTGGTAGTAAAAACAGGCAAAAATCCATCTCACTGGCCAAACACCATCTTTATAAAAATAAATGAAGTTCAGAGCTTGACCTCTGTTTACCCAGTAACAGCATAATGCATCACAGAGTTGTTTTGAAACAATTCGGGAATTTTAAGGATTTATTAATTCGGTTGGCTTGAAACTTTTTTCTTTAAAATGCAGTTTGAATGCTTCGGCACTAACATCAGCTAAAAGAACTAAAACAAGCTAAAAATAAAAGCCAAATAACCCAATATTGGGAAATGCAAAGAGCAACCAGAAGCAAATGATAACTGCACATAAAAACTACCAGRCACATCTCAAGAAGATAGGCAGCTGTCACTTTGGCACAGCAAGGGTGCAGGCAAGGGATCAGATCTCTATTTTAATTCCCTCTTTTTCTTACTAATGTTTTGTTTCTAGAGCTAAATAAGTCTGTTTGGGGTTTTGGTTTGTTTTTTGTTTTTTTTAATTAACAATTACTATCACTGCAGATGCCCAGAAACCCCAGAGGAGCTCAAGAAAGGTGCAAGATCTTGACAGCCTAACTCTTTATCTCTGTTTCAGAAGACTTCGGGGCTACCAAGTCTCTCCAAGTTTTAAATATGTAAGCAAGAATTACAGTCCCAGGCTGGGAATTATGGCACTCTGGCAATGCTAAACACAGGGGGAGAGTGAGGCTGAAAGGTCTTTGCAATCAAGTGTTTAAACTACAGGGAGAAATTATAGCAAAAATAGGTAATTAAAACATTTAATGGGGATAGAAGCAAAGAAAAATACAATRGTTTTAGAAGAAAAGTACTGTTCATTTGCTCCTTCCCATCTGGGGAGGGAATCCAGAAGCATGTCATAGAGCATGCYGATTTTTAATCAAAATGATGAGATACTGCAGGAGCCACTTGATGGCCAGGACTAAATGTGGGGAGGGTGCCTCCCAAACTTGCAGGTGACTCCCCAGTACTTGGCCTAGTGGATCACCAAAAGCTGGACTCCCCTGCAAGAGAGGTCCCAGCAACTGGAGCAGTTTGAACCTGGGAGGAAGGATGACTGCTCCACAAATATGGAACCAGGAGCAGTTCCCTAACTCTGTCTGAACCCATATCTCAGGGCTTTTTTCCCCTCCCAGCCATTTCCTGGATACTCACATTTGTCTTTAATGCCTCCATACATTTGCGCAGCTTCCCAAAGGCATTGGGACCCGTGTATCTTTCTGGCCCAAAACTGTATTGCTGAATCCAGTTACAACCTTGAGAATACAAAAGCTTTTCAGGGAGCTGGGAAAAAAACAAAAGGCAAGCTAATCATAACCATAACAAGAAGCAGAGTGTAAGGTTATGTAAACTTGTCTACATACAATTTACGATGTGGCTCCATCAGCTGTACAGTTCAAATAACAAAGTAAATGGACCTCACAACTCAAATGCTATGAAGGAGGATCCACTTAACTGCCAAGTCCTTAAGAAACATAAAACAGGACCACCCAAAAAGAGATGAAAATATGCTCTCAGCAAAATATATAATCCACACTCTGGAAAAGCTGGATACTTCCAAATTCTGTGATGTATTTAGGATTACACCTTCCAGTGTGCACACACATCCCTACAGGCAGAAGCTATAGATCCCACCTCCCTGACACTGTCTCCTGAAACCCATGGCAGGATTCCTTCTGCTCCAGCAACACAGCAGCTCCCAAGTGAGCAATTGAACTTTACATGGATGCAGATGGGGAGGATTCGAATAACCGGTTGTGTTAAGGGAGTGACATCTAGCAGGATTGCAGTAACATCCATCCATCCACTTTCACTCTTCTTCTTAGAATCATCTAGACTCATGTTCACATTGGTATATTTGGATCAGGGACAGATTTTCAATTAAATGTAGTTCAATGRGCTTGAAAAACTCTTTAAATTCTGATAATGATTCTCTACTTCAAAGCCACACATCACTTTTCAAACAGAACAAAGCTTCCTTCTGCTGTGCATGGATAGCTGAAATGTGCYCATTTAGGAAATCAATTTTACCTTCAATATATCTCTTTCCTTCATCCATGAAGGAAAAGGAAYGCCTTGGCTGAATATCTGAAAAAGCACCGCTCTCACTACACTATAGTTGTCCCTCTTGACTTGTCTCAGGTATTTGACATGATGGGTCCTAAACAACTCTTCATATGCCTAGAGAGAGACCAAAAAAAATTAGCAATAAAAAAGGTTAACTCTTGGAAAGAAAACAAGCTGCTTAAACTCCAGTTCCAAACTACACATAGGAGGGAGCTAGGGGAATGAGAGAGTATATTTTTAAGTTTTACATACACAAAAATATTAAACACCGTGTTTTTGTAAACACCTTAGACTGGCGCTGCTCCTTAAAAATGATTTTACATTCTTTCCAAACCCAGTAACTCGTTCAAGTCTCTGCACTGATGCTACTGTAAACATTCAGACAGTCAACCAAATTACAGCAAAGATTTTTGTGCCATAATAGCATTAACCTCGACCGCTTCACAATTTGCACTGACATGTGAGATGCAGCAGCAAAAGGGCATGAACTGGAGAAAACTCCTTTTGGCAAAAACATCTTACATTGACCTGAACCCCTTGTGCAACCCTGACCTGAGGCTGAGCAGATCTGCAGCTCTGTGCTGAAGTGCACAGCCCTCGGTCCACTCTGCTTTACCTCTGGCTGCCATTTGAGCCCTTGTTGAGACAATTCTGAGCAATAAGCTGGCAGAGAATTAGGGAGAGGACTCTACAGTCCCGCAGGCTGCTCCATCACTCTTTCAGTTTGCTTCCTGAAGGGGGCAGCAGGATGGTCTCAATCCCTCATCCTCTTTTATCTTGGTTGTTCCCTCACCCCATCCCACCACCACTTCTCAGCTGCGCTCTGTTCCCTTACTCCTACTTTTTTTCAGCTGAAATACTAAGCTTATTAAACGCTTTCTGCTGAAGGAGCTTCCTGCTGTTTCAACAACCTCGAGGGCCTCAGAAAAGGCTCTTTCTRGATGACCTGCTTTATCAGCTCACCTTGTGGGTGGACTCATCCCAAATAAGATATCAGAGMCAGCACAAAAGAGGGAGAGGGACTGCTTAGCTAAAACAAGGCAAGAAAGAAGGGGAGACAAGACAAACATGGGGTTGCCCCTTTTGGGGACAGCAAACACATTATAATGGTTAAGGATCTCACAAGATCATCCTAAAATGTGCTCCTTACCATGACTCCTTACCAACTTCTACCTGATGTAAKCAGACATGCACTGGCTGCTCCATATACCGGAGTCTCCTTTCCAGGTCTGATCATCCAGAAGGCTCACAGATTTTCTGCAAGGCTTTTTGCCCAGAGTGGGCTTGCAAATTTATTAGAAGTTTTGCTATCTTTTGTTACTTGCTCCTCCAAATAGTTTTTGGCCTTGTGTGTTGTTCTGTGAACTTCTGGCACTGCAGTGTTCTCACACTTAATGTGGTAAAACTGGGTATTTTTTTCTGTTCATCACTGGAACACAACTCCAGCTTTTTGAAAACTTTCTTGTTTTTTTCTACAACTCCCTTATGCTACTGTTTACCCTTTAAGTCCTTCTTGGTATGCATGTGCTCTGTGATTCCAATACCACAACCTAAAGGCACATCTATGTCAAACACACTGGTGCAGTTGAAGTGCCTGTCTTTTCTGCAGCACCCTGTGCAGGGGAAAACACCAGCACAGAAGTGTCTGGTGGTGCAGAGCTGGAGCAGAGGGATGTGCCCAAAAGCATGAGATGGTCACCATCCAGCACTCTGGCTCTGTGACTGCTGGGTACCACCCAAACTGGCACAGGTCAGATGCCAGTWCCTGCCCTGCTGCAGCTGATGCTGCCAAAGAGGGGAAGGCTGGCAAGCGTGGACCTTCAGAGCTTAGAAGAGCTCCCTGGAGTAAGAGTTTACCTTAAATCAAAGGTTGGCTAATTCATGGCGTCTAAAACCAAATAATCTGGGCTGTAGTACTGGGGATTTTTCTTCTTAAGGTGTCTGTGTGCGTCACTGCTGCTAGAGCGGGGGACTCAGAATATTGCAAGCCTAAAACCTGATCTATATTTTGAYCTGTACTGCTCACTCTTTATTTTGACCCATGTTGACGCTGTTCCTTTTGCCTTTCATTTGACTAGCCAGTGCAGCAGACTTTGATAGCCACTGCAGCTGCTTGCAATGGGAGAGCTATTCCTTTCCCAGGTACTGGTCATTAAAATTTAACTCTTACCTCCCTCATGTGCTTGGCYTGCTTGGTTTCTCCTTTCCATTCTCTCACACTATAACCAAGTAGATCAACTTCTGGCAGCACACTGAGATTCCCTAAATGGAGATTGATTCACAGGTTAGTTACGTTCTGCTGTTCTGCATCTGAAGGGGAGTTGCAGGGGTGTTTAATGGATGTGGAGTGACAACAAAAAGCTTACTTATGAGTTTTCTCTGAAGGTAGTTGCTCCACCTGAAATACAAAAGATAAAACAGGTGTCAACAAGAATGTGTCAAAGGTCAGTATTTACTGAAATAAGCAACAGTGTAGAAGATTAAACTCTGCATAACAAAAACCTACCGTTTCAGTAGCTGTGYTAGGAAGCTGTATAGCCTTCTACAATACCAAAAAACAGCGGCGAGGAAAGACATGCTTAACATTAGCTGGACTTTCACTTTTTGCCACATGAGACACAAGAATTCCTTGGCGGCTGTTGTCCAGGACCACACCTCATGCCTTCCTAAAATAAGGGATAAAAAGAGACAGGRGAAAATCTTATCACTAWWTWAAAATACTTGTTTCTATYTGTTTYCTTACAAACAGAAAKATCATYCAAGTATGATACCACTCMAAACGAAACACAAAACACGAAATGCAAAAGATTAGTATATTTTACTTAATACACATAATTTATATACTTAGTTTTTCAAGTTTCTAGGGGTTTGAGTGCATGTGGTTCACATTTCCACACTTCCTGCACACAGTGAAGGCTACACATATAGTTACAATGGAGTCACAGGAAGACTGGTATCAAAGCCACAGCTCAATAACAAAAAAAAACCCCAAATTACTATATTTTTAAACTTTAGGATGTGCTGATATAAAGACCAGTACTGTCATTATTTTGTCTCTAAGTCATGGCTTCAAAGACCAGGGGATCCTGTCGTCTATTTATAGTCGACAAATGGGCCATATAAGGCAATATTAGCTGRCTAAGCATCATACCACTGCCTGGGGAATTGAAGGAATGTTCCTGCCTCAATTTGGGTAATTTTAGGGTCAATTTAAAACTCCAGAGAAAGATCCTCCCCAGGGATGTGGCAGAAAGCTCAGGAGATCATCATAAAGGGGGTGCACACTTACTGTCCTTCACAGAYGTAAATAAGAACATGACTCTGTCGCTTCCTTGGCATTGCAGACAAGGTTAAGAAAGGTTATGGTTGTCTGTGGATGATAAGCAGCCCTACAACTGAGAGAGGGCCTGGAGACTGAATAGTTCACAAAGGCAGTATCTGCTCCCTAAGCAAGAAATTTGTCCTCTGGATGAAATTTGAATATTGGAAATTCCCAGAGCTCGTGATGAACAGCTGCTCCGTTATTAACTTATTTACTGATTTAGTACAAAATTTTAGAACTCAACTTTTTATAAAGGCATCCRCAGAGAAGGCTGAAAAGATCCTTCTCCGGGAATCTACAGAGGGAATCACTCATTCTGCATATTTTCATGTCAGCTGAACTTCTGCCCCCTCCTGGCTTCAAAAGAAAATTTAGGAGGGACTTAAGTTTTCCAAGCAACTTAAGCCCATGCACTGTGGACAACAATCCAGTCAAAGGGTTACATATCAGTTCCAACCTTGGCAACAAGATAAACAGTGATGCATTCATTTTTACGAGCACTGTTGCATATACACAGAGCACTGCTGATCCTTGGCCTTTCCCGGTATTCTGTTGTTTGAAGAAGTTTTATTACAAGATGTCACATGCAAGTCATCTGGTGGTGAGACCCAGACCTCATCTCTCCTGCAAACTAAAAGCAAGTTAAGAGCTGTAAGTGAACAGGTGTCAATAAACTTAGAGATGTAATCAGAGGTGGAGTTGGGGTGCTTGTTCTGAAGCTCCAGAAAATGTTTATTACTGATGCCAAGTAACAGACAACAAAACATCAGCTGTAAGGTTTGGAAATGGAAAGCCTCATGGAAACCGGACACTCCCACTTAGAGCTCGCACACGCATGCACAYGCACGGTTCCTGCTGAGGGACACCAGGAGGCACATTCTCAATAAGCACACAAGCTTCTACCTAGAGAACAACAACTGAGAAATCACAATCCCAGCACAATCAAGCCACTGCAGTTTCTTCACTCTCTTCTTTAGGATAAAAGYATCAGCATTGAAATAAACCTCAGTGGACTGTGAATAGCTGAACCTTCTGTCAACTGGAATGGAGCCTGACGGCTCACCGATGTTGTTCAGCCCATGGATCAGTGGGAATTCTGGATTTACACCGTTGGGTGCAAACCAGTGATGATTGAAATTAAATTATTTAACACCATTTCAAATACACAATATCAAAAAAAAGTTGCAGCAGACTTTCATTTCATTACTTTAAATGACTCTATGGTCCACTMCCACTTTTGATTTTGAACAAACTGGGTCTATAAAAAAATCAAGAACGGGTCCATCTGTTAAAGTACATACTCTGCATTATGGCRTACCAAGAAATACATGCAAATGCCAAATTTCTTCCTTTACTCCTTTTACATGCAGAAAGATGAGAGCTCTGCATCAGCTTTAAAACTGAATCAAGCATTCTTTTGAAAAAGCTTTTGATGGTAATAATCCTGAAAAAAGCTCAGACTAACTGGAGTTCAGCAAGCTCTCTTTCAATGCACATGGTTAACAAGCGCATAAACAACTGCTCCTCAAGGAGTGCTGGGGAGCACTGGCTTACTGATTTCCATCAAAAACACATACTGATGTCAGAGAACACAAGACAACCAAATACTGTTCACCTATTTTTATTTAATATGGGGGGTTTATAAATAGTTATTTACCTAATAGAAATCCTAATGGGTGATGGGGAAACCTGTAAACAAGCAATTTTGAGTATTTTTGCTACACTTGTATTGCAGCATACCTTGGACTTCAAAAACTTTCCCTGTTGTCATGGGAAMGCTGCTGTTCAAACAGCATTTGTGATTCAGTTACGATTTTCACTGTTTGTGCCACACTTAGAAATTAATTACATTTTTTATTCAAGTAAATGACATTTAGAAGTAGCAGTTGGATTGCAAAGTGCTGCTGGTAAAAATACATCATGAGCATAAATTAAAGAAGGCGGCAGCTTAAAATAGATCTTTCCACCCCCTCCCTGCACCCTCCAAAATTCTTCAGAAACCAATGAGCAATTAAATTAATAACACATTAGTGAGGGGAGTCAAATAAAGCAAATCCATTCCCTGGGATATGGCACAATTCATCCCGCTCCTCAGCAGGCAGTGACAGGAGCAGTTGTTGCTGTGACCAGCTGCTGGGCTCCTTGAAGACTGACTGTGAGCATCACCATAATGACAGGGAGGCATGGCTCTTCTGCCACGCAGAAATTTGGGAGAACAGAGGCTGAACAGCGCTGGAGTAGGTGCTGATAGCAGYGTTTATCTTACAATCCAAATAGTACACCACATTTTCTTTTCAAGCCACATCAGCYTCCTGCTAGTGCCAAGCCTTAAGCTTTTACCCCCCTCAAAGTCAGCAGGAGAGACACATGGAAGAAGAAAACCAACTAAAAAGGCCAGAAAAAAAAGGCAAGTAAGAGACATCTGTAACATCTGTTTCATTCCCAAGTAACTCAGGAAGAATCTCTAAAGGATTTGCTTCACATTTGACCCCCTCACAACTTTTTTTGAGGCTGCCACCTTAAATATGTGTAATTGATGAAATGTGAAATGTCACAGGTCAGCTGGGGAACTAGCAGACAGCGCTGTACACATTACTGAATATTCCACCTCGTCTGATGGCACATTCACCCTTTACTTTTTTTTCTCTGTGCTGTTAACAAGGCCATCAGAAAGAGAACGAAGCGCCTTCCCAAATTAAAAACTGAGAATGACTTCTTTTCAGGACATTTCCTCTTCAMCTTTTGGTACCAAAAGCAGGACATAGGACTTGTGGCCAGGTTTCATATTCCCATCACACAAAATTATGTTCCTAGTTCCCAAAARGCAGGTATACCTTCATTCAAAGAGGGAGGTGGAATGTGGGACCCCTCTGTAGCAGCCCTTCTGTTGCCCCCCTATACCCCACCTTCTCCCTCCCCCTCGACTGAGACACATGAGGCTTTGTGGACATCCAAGTCTGCTTGTGTTCAGTTCTCTTCATAGCCATACATTACATTGTTTTTTTCCAGATTACACACCACCACAGAACAGGCTACGTTGCTCTTTTAAGAGGAAACAAACCTTCCCCATAGAGCAGGCACCAGCACAAGCATGATACACACAGACCTCACTGAATAAAGCAAGAGGGAACCACAGAAAAAATATTATTAATGATGCAAATTCAATACCTACAAAAGTTTACATCCCTTAATGGCTTAGAAGAGAGAAATACGCTTTTTTAAGTGGTGCCAAGAGATTACAAATTTTCTGATTTCCCAGTTTATTATCAGCACCGCACCAAAAAAAAAAAACAAAAAACTGAAAACAGATCAAACACACACCAAGATATATGGGAAGCACTGCTTAATTCAAAACCTATYTCATTACAAACCCTTTCCTTTACAGAACAAAGCAACTTGTTAAGCAACATTCGCCTGTTCTAACAAACAGGAGAGATGAGGATCTCTCCTTGGTATAATAAGAAAAAGGAAATAATTTACAGGCAAAGATGATAATCATCAGTGACACATCAAAAGTTTAACCATGTCTGCTGATCAGATCTCTTCTATCCAAAAACAAAAAAAAAAAAAAAAGAAAAGAAAAAAAAAAACAAAAACAACCAAAAAAACCCAACCCAAACAGAATCTCAGCCCCAAACCATAAGTGGAATCACACAATTACCTAGAAAACAAAATAGTTTTGGTAAAAATGAGGCCCATCAGTTGCAAGAAAGGTTTTATTTACACCGATGTTCTGCACAGGGTTGTCCCAAGTGCCCTTTTGTTGTTGCCCAAGTGCCCAGGTTGTTTGATTTTTTGGGGTTATTTTGGTTTTTTTGTTGTTTTTTTCTTTTTTCAGAAAAATATAGAGAATATAGAGCTGGCAGCCTTTTTCAGCCTCCTCGATTCTCAGCTGGAAYTGCTGGTGTTAATGAATCTATCCAGTTGTGCAGCAACAACCATAATGTGCTCTTACCTACTGTGTGATTATCTAAAATGTACCCTACCAGAGTTACCTTCACAAAACCTATTTCAGCTACATAATCAAGATATTAATGCATGCCTTAGCCTCCACATACCATTTTCTCTCTACAAATGCCTAGGAGAACAAAAGGAAAGTTCAGTTCTTCATTTCCTGTACCATTCAGCTTCCTTTTTAAGGCACAGCTTGCTTTATCCAAGACCTTCAGATGAATAATGCTTAGCCACACTTCCATTTAAGTAAGAAAAAACTTGTGAGAATCCTTCTGAGAATCTACAGCCCAGAACACTGGACAAGAAACACATGAAAAGCATTTCATGCCATAAAAAACCCATCAATCTTTCCCAAACGCTTAATATTGAGTAAAAATAAGAAAGAAAAAA